TATTATACATATTTATTAAATATAGTATATTTTTGTTGCTTATGAAAATAGACAATTCCATTGGGTCCATCTGCATCCATCTGCATGATACCCCAGTAATGATGAAGGATAAAGGAAGGACTGATAATGAATGTTAGAGCATAATTCAAAACATTGTAATAATACAATAAAGACGTGTTGAAAACGATTCCAGAACAGATTCGTGCTTCTTTCTTTTTGTCATTAATGACTATAACTAAACAAAAGAAGAATCCATTTTGGCTTAAATTAGTGTTTCACAATGAAATTGACACATATATTTAATTGATACTTGACAGCTCTTAGAACACTTAGAACACCAGGCATTGCTTTTGACCTATCCAGTAATGCTTACTGTCAGCACAAAGGGCCCACAGGAACTGCAGTTTCTGTTTCTCTGTCCTTCATACCCCCAAGAAACACACACGCACACACACATATATATATATATATATATATATATATATATATATATATATATATATATATATATATAAAAACACATGTAAGATGATGGTACATAAAAGAGATGCTATAATTTCAAAATAGACATACAGACAGATTGACTAATAGATCAATATTCAATGTCGCCTTTTTTAAATGTTACAAGTGATGTAATTCATGATCATGATGTTTCAAAGCACTGTGTGAAGCAAAGAGCGAGTATAATTTTGGCAGGTGTTAAAATAATACTGCCAAAATTCTACTCCCCCCAGTAAAATCCCCCCTGCTGAACCTAGAGTAAAATGCATTTCAGGACACAATCTACAGCCCAGGGCATGCTAGCAAAATAAAGGAGATGTCATTCAGACCTTGCAGTGCTGAGATCAGAGGGGGGAGTATAATTTTGGCAGGTGTCAAAATAATCCTGCCAAAATTCTACTCCCCCCAGTAAAATCCCCCCTGCTGAATTCAGAGACACATGCTTTATATGCTGTAATCTATGAACCAGAAGTCAGCAGAACAAGTTAATCATTCCAGTCATAATGCATCCCCAGAGATAAGAGGGGCATCATTTTGACAGGTTCACAAAACACCTTCTGACTATGTAAAAGCTGCTGACTTTTCAGCCAAAATTAATCTTAAATTACTACCATTACAAGTGTTATTACTGCAATTTTAATTATAGGCAACTCTTTTATGCAGTAATGTGTACTGATTTGTTAATTTGTCCTGCTATGAAAGCAATGAAAGTCTGGTTGCTGAATAACGACGAGAAAAAAAGTCAGCTAAAGCTGCAGCGTCAGGTCATCAGATGTGAGCTTTATTGCTCCAGACAGAGGTTTAAAGCTGTGTTTAATGTGTCGTAATACTTATCGTTATGACTGAAAGCCATTCAGTCCCACCAGTTCTCAAGCACTGCGACAACAACAATCGTTTTTATTTCATAATATTAATTAATTAGTCGGAATTCGGCACAACACTGGATTGTTAGGCTGCATGTAAACGTGGCTAGTGACCCGAAAACGGCCCCCAAAACAAACTACACCTGATCATGAACTGGTTAAATAACCCTTATAAACCCAACAAAGTGGTGTTTAGACGAACTGTACCACTGAGGGCCCGCTGAGGTTTTCGCAGGCATGCGCACAAAGCGAGTGTATTGAAGCATCATGAAGACGTTCAGTTGTGCTAGTCAAGGATGGAGTTCACACATATTTTTCACTTTGTGACGCTTTCAATTTTTTGTTCTTTTGTTTCACTCTGTGGGACAAAGCCAATGTTTTCTGTCATTCAGGGTTTCTAGATGTGAGGTTTCCCCTAAAGAGCAGTGCAGGTAGAAATGAAACAGTTGCACAGAACGTCAGTGTTTGGACTGCATTTAAAATCTACTGTTATTTTAATAAATATGTTGTGTTTTTACACGCTGTTTCAGATGTTCACGTTTGGACACACTTGGGTCAGTTTCAGACTGCTACAGCTCACATGTGCTGGTCATTCACACAGAAAGAGTTTGTACTGCTGAGCAGTCAAATCTGTCACTCTGCTCAAATGTAATCCTTAAAAGAGCACTGTACATCTGATTACCCTGGGCTGCACTCTGACTTATGATTGGGCAGTCGTTTCAAATCTGGTGATAACCTTAACAAGCCTACATACATACATACATACATCATCTAAACCGCTTATCCTTCTGGGTCGCGGTGGGGTGCTGGAGCCTATCCCAGCTGTCATTGGGCGGAAGGCAGGATACACCCTGGACAGGTCACCAGTCCATCGCAGGGCAGACTTAACAAGCCTGGAATATTGAAATATCCTTGTTAAGTATATCAAATTGTAAAATATTATTTTAAACAATAAACACAAGGTGCAAAATGGAAGTGAGGTGGAGCGAAGAGGTAAAAACAAACATGAGGAGAGGCTGCAGGAGAAAACCAATAAAACTGCCTCTATACTGAAGAAGCGCCTACAGTGTGGTACTATTTACACAACGAAGAAAACTTTTTTGTTGCTGGTATTGCTGCTCTAATAATAATAATAATAATAATAATAATAATAATACTGACAACAGTGGCAACAATAAAAGTATGCTCTACAGCTTTCTCACTCATTTTACAATCATCTGTTATGCACATCTAATATTTTATTTTTTACAGCTTCCTACAGACGGATCCAAATGTTGTTACTAAAATCATATTAGAATCATTTTGTGCATATATATGCAGCTAAATTGCTTTTATATTATTGAAAACATTGATTGTAAACTGTTGAACGCTAATGTTTTTAAGAAGGAGATTTGGTGAGCTTCAGGGTTTTGTGTTTGAGCTACTTCTTTTACAGTTCTCCATATTCCTGAGAAAGTGGCAGGCTTTAGGAAATGAACTGAAATTAACATTTACTCCAGTGAGCTGAGAGCAGCACCAGAATCTCGTTAATCGTAAAAGCTTTCTATAATAAAGATTAGCTAGAAATGGACAAATAATATCACAATTTTTTGGTGCTGTAATACCGACATAGAAAAGAGTGACAAACACAAACACACCAACTACAGCTTCAGTCTCTTTCCCTTAACACAAACCTGAGGTAGCACTTTGTACCTTCATACAAAAGAAATACAAACACAAAAGCCCATATTGTATATACTGTATTGTATATACTGTATTACATACTGTAAAACTGCTCTGAATCACAATGCTTATTTATGCACCTGTACAAATGTTTAGATCATCCTGTGTTTTACTGTAAATAATACTTGCCATCCTCGGACTCTGCACACGTATATATTTACATATTCATCTTTTGCTCCTTTCACATTATTTCTTTAATATCTGATCTCTTCATATTTATTCTATTTATTGTATTTTTATTTAGTTTTCTTTTCAATATGTCTTGTTATCTGTGTGTAACTGGTCTGTTTTAGTATTATAATATGTGCACTTACCAAGACATATATGTGTAACATATGTAGCAAACTAAAGTGATTCTGAAGTACAACCCCATTTCCAAAGAAGTTGGGACGCTTTGCAGAATGTAAATAAAAATAGAATGCAATGATATGTAAATCATGTAAGCCATATTTTTAAAGCAAAATACTACAAAGACAACATATCATTGTATTGTTTTTTGAAAAATATATGCCCTTTTTGAAATTGATGCCCACAACACATTCCAAAAAAGTTGGGACTGGGCCATGTTTACCACTGTGTTTCATCACCTTATCTTTTAACGACACTCTGTTAACATTTGGGTACTGAGGAGACCAATTGCTGTAGTTTTGAAAGTGAAATGTTCTCCCATTCTTGTTTGATTTAGTATTTCAGCTGCTCAATCGTTCGGGGTCTCTTTTGTCGTATTTTTCATTTCATACTGCATCAAATGTTATCAGTGGGTGAGAGGTCTGGACTGCAGGCAGGCCAGTTTAGCATCCAGGCTCTTTTAATATGGAGCAGTGCTGTTGTAATACATACAGATTGTGGTTTGGCATCATCTTGCTGAAATAAGCAGGGCCTTCCCTGAAAAAGACGTCATCTGGATGGCAACATATGTTGCCAAAACGAGTATATATCGTTCAGCATTAATGGCGCCTTCACAGATGTGCACATCACCCATACCATGTTTACTAATGCACCCCTATACCATCATGAATATTGACTTTTGAACTGCACTGATAACAAACTGGTCTTTAGCCCAGAGGATGCAGTGTTTGTGAACTGTTTTCACTGACAGTGGTTTTCAGAAGTGTTTCTGAGCCCATGTAATGATTTCCACTAGAGAATCATGTCTATTTTTAATGCAGTGCTGCCTGAAAGTCCAAAGATCATGGGTAGCAAACACACTTCAACAACACAACTTGCAAACAGAGATTTCTCCAGATTCTCTCAATCTTTTATTGTTGCTATTTTATGTTGAGAAACATTATTCTTGAGTTGTTGCACTATTTGATTGTGCAGTCTTTCACAGGGTGGTGAACCCCTCCTCATCCTTACTTTTGAAAGATTCCGCCTTTCTGGGGTGCTTTTTTATACCAATCATGTTACTGACCTGTTGCCAATCAACCACATTTTAGCAGTACCAGCCTTTTGTTGCCCCCATCCAAACTTTTTTGGAACATGTTGTTGACATCAAATTCAAATATTTTAAAAAAAAAACTATCATTTCTCAGTTTCAACATTTGATATGTTGTCTTTGTACTGTTTTTGATTAAATGTAGGGCTTAAATGATTTTCACATCATTGCATTTTGTTTTTATTTACATTTTGCACAGCGTCCCAACTTTTTTGGAAATGGGGTTGTAGATGAAATTATGGAAGAAAAAAAGAAAGACGTCTATTAGTTTAAACAGCCTGGGGGAAAGCCGGTTCTTACCAAAGAGAACTGCTACGTTAAATGTTGTCTAATGTTGGGTAATTTACCACAGCATGATAAAGATCAAAATTAAGAAATGTATATAAAAAAAAAAAACACCCATTCATAATTTATGTGATGGATATACCCCACATGCTAAAAAGAAATCTAAAAAGACCACAAAGAGACTTTCAAAAGAAGAATGTGTTACACAATTTAATTGGATTATTTCCAGGTTTACAGAACATGAAAAAGAAATATTATTAAAAGAATTCAAATAGATAAAGTGGAGAAAAATAATCTCAACAGGTTAACACGTTGACAAAAACACACACAACCTCACACACAAAGGCTTAACTTAACAACAACTTAAAGAAATTAATCAGTAGGCTAAAACTAAGAAGGAAACAGAGAGAGAGAGAGAGAGAGAGAGAGAGAGAGCAAGCAGGAAAGGTAATGTAATGGGGGTTGAGAGCACCTGCAGATTTCTTCCCCATTTTCTAACACAGGTCTAACTTGGTCAAAGGAGTTGCACCTTTATGCGAATTATATGTAAGTTAGACAATCTACAGATAGATTTGCATACAAATATTGAATGATTATTAGAAATCAAACCTAGTATAATGCAGATTTGGATTAGTTCAGTGTCATTGGTGAGATTCAGTCAACAAAGATTGTGTCCCTCATGCACATTTAATGATGTCTGCAAGAGTTGCTCTTAGTCAGGCCCAAGGCCTTGAACAACCCCAAGTGGTCACCTCTTACCCAGTTCCAACTCCTATATAATAGGCCACCGCCATGTCTAGTAGGATAAACTGGAGATGGACATAAACAAGTCCTTATCTCTTGTCACAGTGCCCTTCTCAAGGAACAATCAATGTCCAAGCATCACAAGTCTTTAAAAAGTATTTATAAAAGTAATGGAAAGTTCATGGATGAGTCGTAGTCTGGCCTGTATGCAACTTTATGTGATGCAGAGCAGGCATCCATAGACCATACTGAGGAGAGGTCACCAGTATATCACTCAGATAGCTTGATGTCTTGCAGTCGTTCATCGTGGATTTTATGTTGTTTCTCTTCTTTACAAAGCTGTTGATTTCTGCCCAGCACAAAAAAACTTCTTCTCCTTTGTTATAGTCCTCAACAAGAACACTCTGAAGGGGAAGACAAAGTCGCACTTCTGTTGCAACAAGCATTAAATAGTTACTCTGTAGGAATCGAAGGAGCAAAAGAGGGACGCAAAGGAGCCAAACACACTGTCAAGTGTTTGTAAAAACAGCCATAATTTCATCAGAAACACTATACTAGCGAAGATATACTAAATTAGAAAGAAAAGAACCTCCTATGGAATGTGAAGCTTTTTGAGTGTTTTCAACACAATTCAACATAAACTTAAAGGATATTTTTTCAGGTCTACATAAATGTTTTTAGATAGAAAATATTTTTAGAGGAAATCTGAAGTACCACACCTTCCTATTGGGTGTATAAGCTGTAGGCTTGACTTGGTGTCCAACAAAGGAAAACATATTTCATTCTATGCCCTTGCTTTAGAAACAGCATTTTAAGAGAAAAAAAAAATACACAAACAGTTTGAAATCTGGGCTGGAAACACTATTCCCTGTACTATTTTACTCTCAGAACATGTTAAGGTAAGACTCATTACTGCCCATTTCCATCACTGCCCTTAGTGCACTTGTGTGTCTTCACAGTCTTTGAATGCCTGAAACTCTTCCCACACTCTGAACAGTAATACGGCTTCTCCCCTGTGTGGATGCGCCGGTGTTCTTGGAGATTACTCAGTAGAGTAAAATTCTTACCACACTCTGAACAGTGATACGGCTTCTCTCCTGTGTGCAAGCGCTGGTGTTGCTGGAGAGAGCTCTGTCTGTTAAAACTCTTACCACACTCTGTGCAGTGATACGGCTTCTCCCCTGTGTGAATAAGCTGGTGTCGACGGAGAGTACTCTGTACAGTAAAATTCTTCCCGCACTCTGAGCACTCATAACGCTTAACTTCTGCGTGAATACGCTGGTGTTTTTGGAGATGACTCTGTACAACAAAACCCTTCCCACACTCTGAGCACTGATACAGCTTCTCTCCTGTGTGAATGCGCTGGTGTTCTTGGAGATAACTTTGACGATTAAAACTCCTTCCGCACTCTGAGCAGTGGTACCGCTTCTGTTCTCTGTGAATATGCTTGTGTTGTTGGAGATTACTCTGTTGATTAAAACTCCTCCCACAATCTGAGCAGTGAAACGGCTTCTCTCCTGTGTGAATGTACTGGTGTATTTTGAGAGTCCTCTGTCGAGTAAAATTCTTCCCACACTCTGAGCAGTGATACGGCTTCTCTCCTGTGTGAATGCGCTGGTGTTGTTGGAGGTTACTCTGTTGATTAAAACACTTTCCACACTCCGAGCAGTGATACGGCTTTTCTCCTGTGTGAATGCGCTGGTGTGTTCTGAGAGTACTCTGCTGAGTAAATCTTTTTCCACACTCAAAGCAGTAATGAGTTCTCACATTGCTGTGTTTCGGTGTTTTTCTGTGAGATGTGCTCGTGTACATAGCACCAGATGACGTTTGCTGAGTATTGGAATATTTTCTGGATGCCATATTCTTATGTTTAACCTGTTTCAACAGCTTCACATTCTTCTTAGTGGAATGTCCTGATGTGTTTTTGGAAGCACAGTTAAGCTGGTAGGGAAGTGCAGGAGAAGACTTGAAACAGGACATCATTTATTTCTGGAAAAAGAAAAGAGAAAATCTCAACTCAATGTGCAGCAAAAGTAGTGTGACCCACATCATCGAGCTCCACTTATATCATCCGAGAAAGAATAAACCTCTATTGGACGTCAAAAGAAATCACCTAATTACTCAAACTCTTCAAACAGATATATACACCACAGAAGTTGTCATTCGTCATTCTCTAGCCAGCATCATGCCAATATTGGAAAGTCCAGGGCTAAGCTGGATTTCTCCATAGCTAAAATGACCGGGATTTTTTGTAAACTGCCCCCATCATGTCCTGTGTTTAACAAACTCTTCCGAGCTCTATACATTTTATCCTTTCTACATTTTTCCACCGAATGTCACTGAATCCTCTGCCTTACAAGGTCCTTGAGCCAAAATATGAATTTGCTTAAGCATTAATCCAATTAATGTACAGACAATGTCAGATCATGATAAATGATGTGACCCTTAAAACCTTTAGAGTTTTGTGTTCTGTCCAGTATTTACCCAGCACTGGGTTGCCAAACAACCCAAGTTGGGTTGTTTTTATCAAGTAAATGTTATGCCAGAGTTTTCAAATAAAATTAAATCCACAAGCCATTGTTAAGTATCAAAATGTCTAATATATAGTGCAAATACAAACAAAGAGAAGAAAGAGGTTTCCCTATATATTTTTTGCTTCTAGAATTGCTCTTTCGCTTCTTTTGGCACTTTTTGACCAGGGGCGTGTCTTAAAAGAGGATAATCACCTCCACTCTCTATTAATCAACTGATTTGGGGTGATACATCTTCTGAACATGCAGCCACGCCCACTCTGAGAGCCATGGTATGCCTCAAACATGGCGGAACGCATTGTACTGAGTGTAGTAATGCCAGAGAGCTTATGAGCAAAGTTTGTCATATTTATAAATATAACACTTACACTGTTGCCCAGTGTAATACATATATTTTGGATACTGAAGTATTTTACGTAAACATAGCTATTAAACGAAGGTGTACCATCTTTTGGGTTTTTTTAGATGCTAGCACTAACTAACCTAGCAGTGTTCACTAAAGGGCTAAATAGGTGAGCTTCACAGCTACTTAAATAAGTTTTTCCAAGCCCTGCTTCTGGCAACCTGTAGTTCTGCATGGTTTTGACTATTCCTTACCTTACAATACCTGATTGAGCTCATCAGCTGATAACGGAGCCCTTCCTGAGCTGAATCTGTAGTGCTGCAGGTTGAGAGAAGCACTGGCTAAACACAGTGAAGGGTGGAAAATATCACTGATTACTTCCAGTTACAAGTTACTGCTGCTGCTCAGGTTCATGCTGAATGGTTACATGTCAGAAGACCTATCACTCCAAATCAGCAGACCAACAAAGACCTGCTCCCTGTTCAAGATAAAAGTCTGAAGCAAAATAATTTTAGGAGCAAATAATGGTTCCAGAGGCAAAACATGTATCAGCAAAATCAGCAAACAGAAAAAAATGAAAGCAAAAATGAGCAAAATAAGTAGTAATTATATATCACAATGAGTGAAACTGAGCAGAAATCTTTTTGAAAAAATATGTTTGATTTAATTCTCATTATTTACATTTGCAACATATTTTGGATATATTGACAGTATTTTGCTTGTGGATATTATAATTTAAAGTTTTGGCACAAAATTAATTTTTTGAAGACCACCATTTTTTAGAGCGCATGGAAAGATCATCAGCAGGTAGTCTTAAGTCATGTGAAGTTTGCATTTGATCACAACGTCATGTGAAGAGGCATTTTGGAACGGAGTGCTGTGGTCTAACAAAAACTGAATTGTATTTTGTATTCCTCTTTGGTTTCTGTATCAAACATGAAATATAGGTTTTTATTTAGAGACGCCGGCTCAAAACTGTGAACCCGAGGAAAGCTGGTGGCCCTGATGGTGTATTGCAGGAATCTGCGGACCAGCTCTCCATAGTCTTCACAAGAATCTTCAATCTATCCTTGTCTAAATACATCATCCCACCTTGTCTGAAATCTGCCACAATTATTCCACTCTGTCACTAGTGACCTCATTGACTACTGTCCACAGCTGTTATAATGAAGTGCTTTGAGAGGCTGGTCCTGCAGCACATCAAAGCCAGTTCGCCTACAGGGTAAACAGGTCCATGGAAGATGCCATCGCCACCACTCTTCACACAGCACTGACCCACCTTAAACACCAGGGGAGCTATGTGAGGATGCTTTTCATAGCTTTGGCTTTAATACACTCACCCCAGGCAGACTGGTCACTAAGCTCATTGGCATAGGACTTTCCCAACCCGTCAGAAACTGGATCAAGGACTTCCTGTCCAACCGCACCCAGACTGTTAGACTTGGCCCCCACCTCTCCACCACCATCGCACTCAGCACTGGTGTGCCACAGGGCTGCATGTTGAGCCCCCTTCCCTACAGCCTCTACACCCATGACCATGCCCCCATCCATCCCACCAACACTATAATCAAATTCGTGGACGACACAACCGAGATTGGACTTATCTCTGGGGGAGACAAAACAGCCTACAGAGATGAAGGACTGGCTCTGTGGTGTTCAGAGAACAACCTCACCCTGATCTCCTCAAAAACTAAAGAACTCATCATAGACTTAAGAAAGAACTCTAACCCATTTTACATAAATGGGGACTGCGTGGAAAGGGTACATGATTTCAGGTATTTGGGCACACACATAGCTGAAGATCTCTCCTGGACCACAAAAACAGTGCAATAAGAGAACTGACACTGTACACTGCTATCCAGGCACTAACAACACAGGAACAGAGTGTCTACCCGCACCTATCCAAAACATATTCTAGGGATATTTAAAGACGTTTACATTCATTGGCACTTATTTATTTATTTATTAGTCTGCTTTGTAAATAAAAACACTACCATCCACATACGTGCATTACCACAGCTCCTACATTCTTTTACATCCACCCTTTTTTTATTTTTCTTTTTTAGAATTTTGAATGATCTAGTCTTTCCTTTAATATCTTGCATTTTAAATTTTATATCAGCTTAGATTTTTGTTTTATTCCTAGTTTAATCTTTTTTTGTTTATGCCCCGTTAGGATTGCTGTCCAATTCCGTTGTACTCTATGCAATGACAATAAAGTACCCTGAATCTTGAATCTCTTAATCTACCAGCCACTGACTAGCAACCCCCACCCAGACATTAACTCGGGAAGCACTTCATATTGTTCCAGAACAAACTATGATTTTTCACAGCATTTGCACATATCATATTATCCAAGATGAGTACAATCAGCATATCAGTCAATATTTCTACACCTATTACTATTCCATGACCAATATTGGAATGGCTCCTCTTTTGCATATTGTTTTGTAAGTGAATGGTTGATAAGATCTGCTGTATGTGTTCACAATATGACTGAGAAAGTCATAAAGTGCTCGTCTTTACAGTTTGTTTGACAATGAAGGAAATGACTTGGTAAAGTTAGCACACAAAACAACAGGCGCACATTAGAAAACCAAGAATCATAAAAGCTTGTTCCAAGGAAGATGTCTGTAGAGCTAACTACGTAAAATTGGCTCGAAACCAAAACAGTTACATAAGAGCATTATGAACATATATGTTTCCAAATTAGTCTTTTTGCAGTGTAAATCATAAAGAAACCAGAAGAAATAACCAAATATTCTGGTCCAACAGCTCACATTACTCAGCTCTGGTTTGAATGAAGCTGCTTCTGTGTTTAATCTATTTTAAACCCATTAAATCTTATTTTCAGAACTCCAATGTGTCTCCAGCTGTTTGTCTCAGAGTGAATGAAGAACAGTGAGTGTTAAAGTGTCGGACAGCTTCTTACCTTCAACAGTTCAGCTCTTCTTTCTGCTCCTCCATCAACACTGTATGAGCGCGGAGGCGGGGACTGCTGACCACAACACAACCTTCTGCTTCTCCGCTTTAGTGCAGTTGGAGAAAGTTATAGTTACAGAATCAGCGCCACCACCTGGCCTGAAGCGGCTTCACGCCGGAACCACACGGTTACTAAAACAGGCGGAACGGTCGTTCCTTTAAATCCCACCCGTATTCAGTTAAGCCCTTAACTCTCTAGTTAAGCAGCTAACTTAGTCTGTTATCAATTATTTTAATAAAAGTCCTCTAATTAAGCTTAATCCTGCTTTTGAAGTGAAAATATGAAGTCAGACTAAAAAGCTTAAACGTTGTATTTGATTGTAGTGTATTTTAATAAAGTAAACATTAAACCGATTCAGTTTTTAAATAGGTTTTGCACACAACTAAAAATAAGACGTACTGTCTTCCTGAAAATGTTCCAGTTGTTTCTTACATACCTAAGTCACCATTTTCACAGCTTTGATTACATTACATTACATTACTAATACAATGTTGATTTAAATGGTGAACCAAAAAGTATTAAATGATTATTTAATAATGATCTGTTTATTGTTATGTCTTGTCAGATTCCAGAATTTGGTCAATTTTTGAGCATCGCTTTTTAAATGAAAGGAAATCTAGAAATTAGTTTTGGTACAACATTGCTCTTGATGCTTTACAGCTTTCTCACTCATTTTTACAAACATCTATCATTGTAGTGACAGAGATTTTGAATAAATATTCCCATAATCAGTAATCAAATGGATCAGTCATTGTAATCAATAACCAAATAGGTAGTACTGACTACCAGACAATATTAATTCTCTTTCAAAGGGCAGGCTTTAGTCTGTCTGCATAAGGGATTCTAGACACTGGAAAGCCCCTGGATTTATAGAGAGGCCTTCATCTCCCCCAAAAAGGTATTAAAAAGGATGTTTCGTGATGATCTTTGCATTGTGGTTGTCCGCGAACCATCCTGACACTTAAAGCTCAATAAAGAGAAGGACTTTTCCTTCCTTCCACAAGAACTCAGCAGCTGAAGTCTTTTTCATTCCTTTTTTACTTTTTGTTGATATTCTTTTAATTCTTTCAGGGCTAAAGCATAGAACATACTAGAGATATTCATATATTTCTAGGCCCTGGGCAGAAGAGACAGCTCTTGTTTGTGACAGTAGACCCACCTAATATTTCTTCATTTTTACAGCTTCTTACAAATGATTCCAAATACATAAAGCAGTACTGTACTGTACTTTCATACAATTGAAAACACTAATTGTAAACTTGAACACTACTGTATGTAAGAAGGAGATTTGCAGGGTTTTGCATATGAGCTGCTTCTTCTACAGTTCTCCATTACTCTGATAAAGTGGCAGTCTTTAGGAGGCTGGAGTGTCTGAACTGAAATGAACAGTTAGTCCAGTAAGCTGAGTGCAGTGCCAGAATGTCCTAAATCGTAAAAGCTGTCTATGATTAAAATTAGCTAAAATTAGTCATTTGTTTGATATGCCACTAGTTAAGCAGCTAACATAGTCTAGTTTTTGTTATCATCAAACATATGGATACAATCAGAGGAATCATGAATCAGCCATTCAGAAGCCTGAAGACCCAAACAGAAGACAGGATATTCTGGAAAATCACTGTACATATAGTCACCAGAGGTTAGAAACGACTTGATGGCACTTAATAATAATAAACATCTTTAACTGTGGTTAATGCTGCTTTTGAAGTGAAAGATCCTGCAGAGCTGCATCTGTACACTATACAAGAACAAAGAGAGTCAGAGAGAGAGAGACTCACACCCACAGCTCAACCATTCTGGAAGAAAAAGGGAAATTCGTATGCAGGTCACCACTCACTGCACTGTTTCCTCTTTTTGGGTACTGTAGTATCTGACACAGAGAAGAGTGATAAACACACACACACCAACTACAGATGAAGTCTCTTTACTTTAACACAAATATGAAACAGCACTTCTTACCTTCATACCAAAATAACCTAAAATGATGAAGCACATTCACATATTTACAAAAAACCTCCTTTACTGTCTAACCATGTTACTCGTTTGCAGCACAATGCTTATTTATACAACTGTATAAATGATCATATCAATTTGTATTTTATTAGAAAAAATAGTTGATTTCCTCAGACTCTACACATCACATGTTCACATATTCATCTCTTAGCATTCCTATTATCTTTCCTATTATCTCTTTTATATGTAATCTCATTATTTATCAAAACTATTGAATTTTTTCATAATTTTACTGTCTTTTTTTTTCTTTTTAATATTTCTTATAACATGTGTCTGGTCTGTTTAGTATGATACAGGTGCGCTGTTACACATTCCTGGTATGTGTAACATACTTAGCAAAATAAAGTGATTCTGCTTCTGAAGTAAATGGAATGACATGGAACAAAAAGGAAAAAAAAGTCTGCATATATTACTTTATATGGTGTGGCAGAACACTTTACACACCTGTATAGCCAGCCAGTTTTGTCAGAGAGAACTGATAAACCCTGATCTTGTTGGATCTCAGAAACTAAAGCAGGGTAAATTTAACCTCTTACTGGAATAATTTACCCCAGTATGACTAAGATATAAATTTAGAAATGCATTCAAACATTCAAATTTCTGTGAAGCAATACACCAAAAAAAAAGAGAAGACCACACAGTGTAAAAGGAGGAATAGATTGTAGTTTTTATATTGTTGTTTACAGCAACATATTGTTCTTTACAGCAACATAAAAAAACATTATTTGGATAATAACAACAAAAAAAATGGAGAAAAACAATCTGAACAGGTTAACACATTCACTAAAAACACATGACGTAACTAACTTTAACTTGAAATAAATAAAAAAATAAAGAAAGAAAGCAGCAGGTTAAAACTGTACTACGAGGGAGAGAGAGAGAGAGAGAGAGTGATGGGTTGAGAGCACACACTGGTGTCTTCCCCATGTCACACAGACTTGGACTGCATTTCAGAAACATAACTGAACACAGTGTCATTGGTGAGATTTGGTCAACAAAGAGAGTCTTCATTGTGTGCATCCTAATGATCTTATTTTATTTTAGTCCTAATCACATCAGCTAGAGTCACTCTCAGTAATGCCCAAGGCCTTGAATGTCCCCAAATGGTCACCTTTCACCCAGTTCTACAATGATGGAGATACCCAGTTCCAACTCCTGTACCATCGACAGCCACCGAGTCTGGTAGATTGTATTTGGGCATAGAAGACCTCATGTCTCAAAGAACAATCTCTCACAAAGAACATCAAAATTTCTTAAATTTGCTTAAAACAGTAATGGAACGTTCATGTATGAGTTGAAGTCTGGCTTGTGTACAACTTTATGCTGCATAGAACAGGCCATACTGAGGAGAGGTCAGCAGTACATCACTCAGACAGCTTGAAGTCTCGCAGTCTTTCATACTCCAGCATCTCCATTACAATGCTGTTAATTTCTGCCCAGCACAGCAAAAAAGACTATTACAGTCTTTAGGGTTATTGTGTAAGAATCAAAGGAGCCACAGAGGGACTCAAGGAGCCAAGCACACTGTTAAAGTTTGTCAAACATCCACCATACTATCAGACACACTACCCTAGCCAAAATTAGAAAGTAAAAAATATCTTATTATTGAATGTGGAGCTTCTCAATTGTTTTCAACACATATAAGAAATGAAACTAATTTTGGGAAGAACATGCAGTATCACACCTCATTGGGTGTATGAGCTTGGTGTTCAGCACAAGAAAATATATATATTTAATGCTCATGTTTTAGAAACAGCATCAAACAACAGTATGTGGTAAGATTACCCTCATTACTGTCCATTTCCACCACGGCCCTTAGTGCACTTGTGTGTCGCCACAGTCTTTAAATGCCTGAAACTCATCCCACACTCTGAGCAGTAATACGGCTTCTCTCCTGTGTGAATGCGCTGGTGTCGAAGGAGATGACTCTGATGTTTAAAATTCTTCCCACACTCTGAGCAGTGATACGGCTTCTCTCCTGTGTGAATGCGCTGGTGTTGTTGGAGATGACTCTGTTGATTAAAACTCTTCCCACACTCTAAGCAGTGATACGGCTTCTCTCCTGTGTGAATACGCTGGTGTCGTTGGAGAGTACTCTGTTGATTGAAACTCTTCCCACACTCTGAGCAGTGATACGGTTTCTCTCCTGTGTGAATGCGCTGGTGTTGTTGGAAATTACTCTGTTGATTGAAACTCTTTCCACACTCCGAGCAGTGATACGGCTTCTGTCCTGTGTGAATGCGCTGGTGTATTTTCAAAGTGATCTGCTGAGTAAAATGCTTCCCACACTCTAAACAGTGATATGGTTTAACCCCTGTGTGAGTGAACATGTGTTCCTGGAGAGTACTCTGACAATTAAAACCTCTCTCACACTCTGAGCAGTGATACGGCTTCTCTCCTGTGTGAATGTGCTGGTGTCGTTGGAGATGAGTCTGTTGAGTAAAACTCTTCCCGCACTCTGAGCAGTGATACGGTTTCTCTCCTGTGTGAATGCGCTGGTGTGTTTTGAGATGACTCTGTACAGTAAAACTCTTTCCACACTCCAAACAGTAGTGATTTCTCTTCCTGCTGCAGTTCTGTGTTGGTCTGTGAGAAGTGTTCATGTCGAGGGTACCAGATGATGTTTGCTGAGTACTGGAACATGTTCTGGATGCCATATTCTTATGTTTAACCTATTTCAGCAGCTTCACATTCCTCTTGGTGGAGTGTCCTGACGTGTTAATAGAAGCACATTTAATCTGGGTAGGGAGGTGCAGGAGAAGACTTGAAACAGGACATGATTTATTCCTGGAAGAAGAAAAAAAGAAAATCTAAACTCAACATACAATGCAACAAAAGTAATCTGATACATATTATGAAGGCTCCACTTACATGAACTGGCAGAAAGTGTAAAGAAAGAATACATTTCCTTCAAATATGGAAAAGCCAATCACTTAATTACTCCAACTCTTCAAATGGACATATACACCACTGAAGTTCATGCCCTTACTGGAACCTCTGGGGCCAAGCTGGATTTGTTCATAGCATTTGTCCCAGATCTTATTAGATTTATTAGGCCTTAATCCAAGTTATGTAAAAGACAAATTAAGAGCAGAATAAATTATGTGATAGTTCAAAACTCACATCACAGCCATGGGTTCATCTAAACAGCTGGTTGAGTATCTGAAACTAAAGATAACTGACTATTATAAAGCAAGAGAAGAAAACACAATGTATCTGAATGCTTTCTGCATGTAACTTTCACTGCCTGAAATGGCATTAAGAAATGAAAAAAGTTTTCTTGAGTTCAAGGCAGGACTTTAAAGAAAAAGAAGTAATGTGGTAGTAACTTCAGGCTCCTGCAAATGGCAGTGCACGAGGATGATCGGGCTATGTATATCTGCGGGGTAGTGAATGTCAGTGCAGTGAACGTCTCGTTCGATGTGTGGAAAATGGGTTGCAAAGCAGATGGTACTGATTAGCAAAAAGGAATGATTGCATTTGGGCATGCCAAATGCCATAGCATGAAAAAAGTAGCTTAACTTGTCATACGGGTCTACCAGCAGTGGCAAAAAATTCCAGTCTACAGAAAATCGAATTGTGGCTGAAGGACGAAACTGACGGAAAGGGACCACCGGTGTGTTTCACGGCATGTGAATAAAAATAGCTTTGCTTCCAGGCAAGAATTGCTTGTAGAAGTCAATGCAGGTCCTTCACAACCAATTTCTGAAAGAATACTCTGCTCAACGTTGCCAGTGCAACGTTGCCAGTGCAACTGCTCTATTGACTACATCAAATAAATGGATATTTTAACCTCAAACACCAATGATTTTGAATTTAAAGAAGTATGGTCGGTTGGTGTATGAGGCCTATTCTTTTTTTTTTCCCTTTCTTTAACAATTTAACAATTGTCCACTTGCACGTTTGCCATCTAAACCCTGCCGCCTCAACGTTGCCAGTGCAACTGCCCTATTGACTACATCAAATAAATGGATATTTTAACCTCAAACACCAATGATTTTGAATTTAAAAAAGTAGCTTAACTTGTCATACGGGTCTACCAGCAGTGGCAAAAAATTCCAGTCTACAGAAAATCGAATTCCACTAAAAATACCACTGAAATACCACTGACAGTTGACTGTGGAATATTTCGTAGCGAGGAAATTTCACGACTGGACTTGCTGCACAGGTGGCATCCTATCACGATACCACGCTGGAATTCACTGAGCTCCTGAGAGCGACCCATTCTTTCACAAATGTTTGTAGAAGCAGTCTCCATGCCTAGGTGCTTGGTTTTATATACCTGTGGCCATGGAAGTGATTGGAACACCTGAATTCAATGAGTTGGATGGGTGAATGAATACTTTTGGCAATATAGTGTACTACATCCCCCTCTAAAGAGACCTCAAACACCCACCATAGACACTCCTACCAGCTCTTAATCTACCAACCCTTGACCACCAACCCCCACCCAGACATTCACAGCTCTCAGGAAGCACTTCATATTGTTCTAGAACAAACTGTCACTCTCACCACATTCATACATGTAATTATACTCATCTTGGATAACATCAGCATATGGGTCACTATTTCTACACCTATTACAACCACATGACTTATTAATATGACCTCTTTTTGCATATTTGTTTTTATAAGTGATAGTTGATAAGATCTGCTTTATGTGTTCACAAACTGACACTGGAGCAGAAAAAAATAATAAAGGACTCATTTTTACAGTTCTCCTGACAATCAGTGCGTTTATATTTATAGCAATAATACAGTCGATAATGAAGGAGATGTCTTAATAACATCAACACACAAAAGAACAGAAGCACATGAGATATAAGCCAAGAATCATGGAGTCTTGTTCCAAAAGACATGTCTTTACAACTAACTAGGCAAAGTTAGTTCTCGAAACAAAACAGCATTTTAATCCACCAGATAAGAGAATTATTGACATCATTAAAGATTTCCATGTAGTTTGTTTACAATATAAATTATAAATAAAACAATGGTTTGAATGAAGCTGCTTCTGTGTTGTCTAATCTCTTTCAAACCATCTAATCTTATCTTCAGAACTCAAATGTGTCTCCAGCTGTTTGTCTCAGAGTGAATGAAGAACAGTGAGTGTTAAAGTGTCGGACAGCTTCCTACCTTCAACAGTTCAGCTCTTGTTTCTGCTCCTCCATCAACACTGTATGAGCGCTGTTTGGACTGCTGAGCACAACACAACCTTCTGCTTCTCCGCTTTAGTGCAGTTGGAGAAAGTTATAGTTACAGAATCAGCGCCACCACCTGGCCTGAAGCGGCTTCACACTGGGATCTATCGCTCTCTCTTTCTTTTCTCTTTCTGTTTTAGCAGACTCATTTCTTTCTTTAAGCGTTTGTCTTAGATACACGTGAGTATGAGGTATTGTGTGTTTTTTTGAACGTTTTAACCTGTTAAAATAGTCCTTTTTTGTTCTTTGAATATTTTTCTTTTACGTTCACGTAAAGCTGAAAAAAGTCCTGTTAAATTTTATAATCAGTTCTACTTTAAATTCACTGTTGTATTCTCTTTAGTTGTATCGTATTGCAAAAAATTGTGCCTGGGTGTTTTTCATACATTTCTAAATTTCCCATTAGACAAGTTTTCTTTCTTTGGCAAGAACTGGCCAGCAATAAAGCCGTTTAAGGTATTTCACCACTATATATACATATACGCATAATAGATGCAGACATCTTTTTTGTTGTTGTTCCATAATGTCACCCCCTTCAGAAGCAGAATCACTTTATTTCCCTAAGTATGTTTCACATACAAGGAATTTGTCTTGGTGTTTGAACACGTGACATGTAACATACTACACTGACCAGATGAGTGCACAGACAATAAGAAATCATAAAAAAGACAAAGCAAAATGAAAATACAATAAACAGAACAAACAATAAAAAAGATATAAAAGAGCTAATGAAACTATCTAAAGAGATATATGTGAATATGTACCCACATGCAGAGTCTGAGGAAGTAAACTATTATTTACAGTATATTACAGGATGACCTGAACATTTGTACAGTTGTATAAATGAGCATTTTAGTGTAGAGTTGTGATGTAGTTACACAGTAAGGTTAGTTGTTGCATATAATAAAAAAAATGTTTTATCATTTAAGCATGTTATGTTTTTGTTATACTTTTAAGGAGTTATATGTTTGTATTTCGTACTAAGCTAAGAAGCGCGATTCCATATTTGTATGAAAGGAAAAAGACTGAAGCTGTAGTTGGTGTGTTTGTGTTTGTCACTCTCCTCTGTATCAGTATTACAGCACACAAAAAGAAACAACACTGCAGTGAGTGATGAACTGCAATTGCAATAAGAGTTTATCCTCTTCTTCCAGAAAGGCTGAGCTGTGGATGTGAGTCATTAATAAAGAGCTGCAGTGGTGGATGCTGTGGTCTAGCGCTCTCTCTCTCTCTCTCTGACTCTGATTTCTGAGCAGATGCTGCTCTGCAGGATCTTTGACTTCAAAAGCAGCATTAACCTCAGTTAAAGACCTTTATTAAAATAAGTTTGATGTTAATAATATGATAATATATAATTCTAATATGACTGTAGAACTGTGCAACTTTATACGTTTGGAATTATTTGTAGGAAGCTGTTAGAAATGCTGAAATGTTAGATGAGTACACAATGATAGATGACACTAAATTGAGTGAGAAGGCTGTAGTGCATCTAGAGTAATGTAGTAAAATTAATTCCTTACATTTGCAAAGTGGTGACCAAATTTGAAACTAATCCTGAAAGTGATACTGGACTCTGATTAGAAATTACTATAAAAAGATAATTAGATAATCTGTCAATTAATAACTTCTGATTTATAATTTAGATTATTAAAATCAACGTTGTATAAGTATCGAAGCTAATAATATGGTGAGTGAGGTATGTAAGGAACATCTGGATTAGGAAAAATCACAACGAAATGAGTTTCATATTTGCTTCATTAAAAAACACTACAATCAACTACAGGACTTAGTTTGAGCTTTTTCAGTCTGACTTTACATTTTCACTTAAAAAGCAGAATTAACCTCAGTTAGAGACCTTTAGCAAAGTAAGTCTGATGATAAAAGATAGACTAAGTTAGCTGCTTAGCTACTGAGTCATTACTATAGTACATCTTATTCTAAGAGCTTTTGTGTTCTTCTGTATTTACTCTCTTAAAATGATGGTGTTTCTCCGGAGTTTATATCAAATTTTAAAGTAACTTTTACAATTCATAATTCGAGTACAAGTAAATGTATTTACTCCAGTAAGTTGACAGGGCTAGATTGTTGGAAATAATCTGCACAAACACAACTAAAGCCAAACATAATATGTGAGAAAAAAAAATGGAAAAAAAACCCCACATCACTCGATAAAAAAAAAAAAATGGGTTGTTAACTCAATTAATAATGTAATTTTTAGTGACTGTCCTGCTGCATACAGCTCCATAACGTTACCTTACATTAACTAATATTACAAACAGTACACTTTATACTCACAGACTGCAAACTGTATAAGTTAACAGTACCAAAAATTCTATTGTTAACAACAGCGATTTGTTCAGCGCTTTGATTTTCTTTACTAAGATATGTTCCTCTGGTAATCATAATTACTTCATACACTATGAGAAATATATTTCTCCTTTATATAACAGCCTCTCACATAGTTAAAGACAAACATCGAATGCAGAGAGAGAGAGATAGAGAGAGCGAAGCAAGACTGTGTCCTGTGATGAACTAAAAAACAAAACAAGTCTCTTATGATGCAGTTTTATCTGTAGATGAGATTGAGAAGTAAATGTATTTTTTGAAAACACATTTTAAGTGAGGGTCTAGGTGTCGTAACTTTTTTCTACGATCAGACCGAGTGGTGATCTTAATAGCATATAATAGCACTTTTAAAACTGTTTGAGTGATGCTCTGATTTTTCTAATGGCTGAATATTAATGTGAGGTGATCCTGGTTTGTCTGTGTACAGCGTGCACACAACCATAAGAATGAAAGAACTTACAGTCTGATCAGATCACTTTTGGACCATCTGAAAATGTTAAACTGTGTGACAGAATTAGTCATCAGACTTAATGGGGAAAGCTTTATTACTAGATTTCCCCTCACATGGCTGTATACCAGCAAAACTGCAACAAAACTTTTTCAGTACAGGTATTTTCCCTCTGAGGAAGTGGCTGAAGAGGAGAACCATGACCTACAGATCATCAGTAAGAGATCCATGCCACTGTTATAACATTGAGTCAGACATGCGATGCTGCCAAGAAAAATAAATCCAAGTAAGATTTTTATATTAACATTATATACAATTGTATTATTTTACCTTTTAAAGTATACACCGATCTGGCATAACATTATGACCACCTCCTTGTTTCTGCGCTCATGGTCCATTTTATCAGCTCCACTTACTATACAGGTGCACTTTGTAGTTCTACAATTACAGACTGTAGTCCATCTGTTTATCTGCATACTTTTTTAGCCCCCTTTTACCCTGTTCTTCAGTGGTCAGGACCCCCATGGATCCTCACAGAGCAGGTACTATGTGGGTGGTGGATCATTCTCAGCACTGCAGTAACACTGACGTGGTGGTGATGTGTTAGTGTGTGTTGTGCTGGTATGAGTGGATCAGACACAGCAGTGCTGCTGGAGTTTTTAAAAGTTTTTTCCACTCTATTAGACACTCCTTCTTTGTCAGTCCACCTTGTAGATGTAAAGTCAGAGACGATAGCTCATCTGCTGCTGCACAGTTTGTGTTAGTCATCCTCCAGTCCTTCATCAGTGGTCACAGGTCACTGCCCACAGGACGCTGTTGGCTGGATGTGTTTGGTTGGTGGACTATTCTCAGTCCAGCAGTGACAGTGAGGCGTTTAAAAACTCCAGCAGCACTGCTGTGTCTGATCCACTCGTACCAGCGCACACCACCACGTCAGTGTTACTGATCACGTCAGTGAATGATTCACCACCCAAATAGTACCTGCTCTATGAGGGTCCATGGGGTCCTGACCAGCGTAGCAACAAGGCAGGTGGTCATAATGTTATGCCTGATCAGTGTCTATCACATAACTTTCACAACCTGCTTGTGATTTTTTTGGGGTGTTTTTGTCTTATCAGGGAATCTCCTTGTCTTTAAGGAGAAAGATTCAGAGGGAGGATCCATAAAAATCTAAAGCAGCTCCATGGAAAAATACACATGTATCCTCTGACTTATTTTCTTTTACATCTCTCTCTGCCTTTTCCATACTTTACATGTTTCCAATTATAATTCTAATCTTTATGCTCAGTCTCTCGTCATTCCGTATACACTCAGTGGACAAGGCAATTGTAACGTTGTCTTTGAGGTACACCTATTAGTCATCCATACCGTATACAATCAGTTAGAAGTCATAATATGTCTATTTCATGCCCTGCGTTTGTACTGAGAACCTATTTGTCTGATAGTAGCATGTCTTGTCCTGTATATGTTTGTCCATTGGTCTCTTTCATGAATGAGTCATTTCTAATGAGCAAGCAAGTCTTATCCCAAAACAGGTGTATTAACTGTATCAGGTGTAGGTACTCAGATCTGCTCACACGCAGCATGCTTTACTATTAGATACAGCTATTAGACCATAATGTTCTGTTCACTCAGTGTAGAGTGCAGCCCTCCTGCCATCCTTAACATGCTATCTTTCCTTCAACTCTGTATCTGTTGCAGTCTGAAGGGTCAGTGCACATGTTTAGGGACTGCTGAGTCCTGTCCACCCCCCATTTTTAACCATTAGTTTAGACCAGTGTTTGTCTGGAAAGAATACTGAATAACTGACTAATTTTGCAGTCATCTATCACGGAGGACACATCTAACATTTCTTCATTTTTACAGCTTCTTACAAATGATTCCAAATGTATAAAGCTGTGGTGTAAAAAATCATATTAGAAACATATTGTAGATGTATATGCAGCTGAATTTCTTTTATATTATTGAAAACACTGATTAAAATCTATTATAAACAGCACCAGAATCTCCTAAATCCTAAAAGCTTTGTAATATGAAGATTACCTTGTAGGAATAAAGAAATATCAGAATTTGAAGTGAGTGAATATAGAAGTACAGAAATGCTTAATAGGAAGTACTGTAGTATTAAACTACATTTACTTCATGTGTCATTTTTGATAGGCCACTCATTAAGCAGCCAACACTAGTCTAGTT